ATAAACTTCATTCTAACCATCTTTGTTACCAGACTCTTAGGATAGTGGCTGGCCCGGAATCTTTACTTCAGTTTATTAAGTTAATCAATAAAAATACTACTCTTCATCATCACCTTACATTTAACATGAAATTCTCACTTAACATGTTCTAAGACGCTTCATTGGTGGCCCAGCATTGGGCGGTTGCTATTGAGTACAGAAAGGGAGATGCCATCTAAGTGTGGCTTGTCACCCACCAAGAAGCCCGAGTTCTTGTCTCTTAGACTCTATGGACTTTGTGAGAAATTTAATCCTTCAGGCCTCGGTTTCCTTAACTAAATCAAGGAGAGGAATAACCTGATTTCTGAGAGGAAACAGAAAAGTGGAACTAAAGTATCCGCCATACTCTGTTTCAACAACGAATTTATAAGCTTTACCATCCTAAAATAAGCTCTGTGTATTTTGTCTCTTCTTATAGTGCAATTATAATTTTGTATATTCATTTAATGTGTACCAGAGTCGTAGGTAGTCATTTTATTATTTTTTTTTTTAGAGACAGGGTCTCACTCTGTCATCCATCCTCTAATGTAGTGGCTTGACCATAGCTCACTGCAACCTTGAGCTCCCGGGCTTATTCAGTCCTCCTGCCTCAGCCTCCCAACTACAGACATGCACCACCACATCTGGATAATTTAAAATTTTATAGTAGGAATGAAATTTCACTATGTTGTCCGGGATGGTGACAAACTCCTGGGCTCAAGTAATTTTCCTGCCTCCACCTCCCAAAGTTCTGGGATTAAAGGCATGAGCCACCACGTTCGGCTGTAGGTGTTCATTTTAGATCATAAACTCCACAAGGGTCAAAGGCCTTTGACTCTCCACATATGGTTGAGTAGAGTACCTGTGCTCCACATATATGGGCTGAACTGACTTGTATAGTGTTCAGAATGACTTCATAGCAATTTCAGAAATACAAGATTAGAAGCAGATTTGCTGTGATTTTAGTTATACATAACAAGGAAAAAATGTTTTGCTCCTGGTAAATGAAAGGCACCAGTTTATCCAAAGGACTAAGAAAGGAAACGGGTGTTTTAATTTGCTAAATCCAAATACTTTTGGTAAAATAGGGGCTGAAAAATGGAAAAAACCTGCCCTAGCTGCCTTTGTGAGATTTCGTTATGCTCAGAGTAGGAGCTCTATAAATACCTGTTGGATGAATGTTGCATGACTGCAGTCCCTCTATAGCTTTAATGATCCTAGGAGCAGCTAGCCATATCCCTTATAGCACCTTTCTGCTGACAGCAGCAGGATATGGATGGTGTTAGCACGGTTGCTAGATGATGAAGCAAGAGAGAGGTCAATCCCGAATAAACATCTGGGAATTTAGTAAGAGAAGTTGGGCAAAGAGCTGCATAAAACAGCTCTGGTTACCAGTTAATGTGAACTTCCTTGAGTTAGGCATACCAGCTTTTTAGAAAACAAAGGCTGATGTCTGGTTACCTGACCACTGACTCTGGCCCACAGATGAGCTTTGGACAAAACATTTGAATTTGGGTTCTTTTTTGATGGGGCCAACACAATCCAGTTTTCCAGAGTTTTGAACACTCCGTATTATCTTGCTTCACTCATTTACGTAACTTGTGAGTCTCCTGAAACTTCCTCCTGGCTTAGAGGAAGCTGAAACTACAAAGAGACACCTTTGGATGCCAAACTGGCCTAAAGTTAGAATTTAGTCTTCAAAATTGGTTTAACCAAGCCTGCAGAGCGTTTCTTTATCTAATTTATCGTAAAGTTTTGTTTACTGCTGCGATCTGTGAAAGACATAAAAAGGAAGGGCTCACTATGAGTAATTGTCCAGGACCCCTTAAAGATATGAATATTTTTCATTAATTAAGAATTGTTGTGTGATGCACCAGCCTAGGTTCGTAGGTGTATGGCACTTCACGGAATTTGCACAACTTACTGAGGGCTACACTGAGGCAGAGCAGGGACTCATCCATCTGCTGATCTCAACTCCATGTTCTTTTCATTGCTCCATGAGGTAACACGTGATTTCCTACTATACTGGGTACTGAAAAGAAAGCTGCCGGGTACAATGGCTCACGCTTGTAATCCTAGCACTTTGGGAGGCCGAGGCAGCATATCACTTGAGACCAGCCTGGGCAACATGGCAAGATCCTGTCTATACAAAAATTAGCTGGGCATGGTGGCATGTGCCTGTAGTCCCAGCTACTCAGGAGGCTGAAGTGGGGGGATTGCCTGAGCCTGGGAAGTTGAAGCTGCTGTGAGCTATAGGAGAGGAGAAGAGGGAAAGGAAAAGGAGGCTAACCAGTTCATAATTTTCCTCCCCTCCCCTCCCCTCCCCTCCTCTTCCCTCCCCTTCCCTCCCCTCCCCTCCTCTCCCCTCCCCTCCTCTCCCCTCCCCTTCCCTCCCCTCCCCTTCTCTCCCTTCCCTTCCCTTCCCTTCCCTCCCCTCCCCTTCTCTCCCTTCCCTTCCCTCCCCTCCCCTCCCCTCCCCTCCCCTCCCCTCCCCCCCTCCCCTCCCCTCCCCTCCCCCCCTTCCCTTCCCTTCCCTTCCCTTCCCTTCCCTTCCCTTCCCTTCCCTTCCTTTCCCTTCCCTTCCCTTTCCTTCCCTTCATTTCCTTTCCTTTCATCTTTCTTTCTTTCTTTTTTTTTTGACAGAGTCTCACTCTGTTGCCCATGGTTGGAGTGCAGTGGTATGATCTCAGCTCAGTATAACCTCTACCTCCTGGGTTCAAGCAATTCTCATGCCTCAGCCTCCTGAGTAGCTGGCATTACAGGCACCTAACACCAGGCCCACCTAATTTTTGTATTTTTAGTAGAGACATGGTTTCACTATGTTGGCCGGGCTGGTCTTGAATTCCTGGCCTCAAGTGATCCACTTGCCTCAGCCTCGCAAAGTGCTAAGATTACAGGCATGAGCCATTGCACCCAGCCACAAGTTCATAATTTCTAAATGAGCAGCCTAAAGAAAGGTCTGCTGCAAGATTGTAATACAATAGAATCGCTAACATTTATTGAGTGCCTACTATGTGCTGACATTAAGTGCTTACGTATATTAAATTAACTCACTTACTCTCACATCCACTCTATAAGGTATTATTCTCATTTACGGTTAAAGCAAGTGAGGTACAAAGAAGATAAATAACTTGTTTGCCCAAGTCAGGGAATGGTTGAACCAAGATTTGAACCCAGGCCGTCCAGCTCCAAAGTTTACGTATCCATAAGCTACGTTGTAGCCATTTGCCTTTTACTTCATGTAGGGTGCAGAGAAAGAGAGATTGGACACGGTAAATTACATTCTACCCTGCACTTAAAATTCAATGAAATATTTCTGCTTAAAAGTCAATGATGTCATCTTTATTACTATTTTTATTGACATTCATTTTTTTTTTTGCTATAGCATCCCATTATACAAATGTTCAAGTTTTTGGAGAGTTCTGAAACTATAAATTATTTTTTGAAGCTGATTAGATGGAGACAGGCTTTGTTTACTAGAAAAATGGAAACACCATGGAATGTGCAGTTTTCAGCAGAAAAGTCACAGCCCCTCTTCCACAAAGCCACCATCTGTTTCTACTCTGGATTCTCGTGGAATCCAGATGTTCTCATCCTCCCAACGAATGCTTTCCAATGGGAACTTCTTGTTCAAGCAAATCAAAGCACAGTTTTATGTAGTTTGGACTTTGGCTTTTTTTGAGCCCTCCATTGTGAAAAAAAGTGCAAGGCAATTCTGTTGCTTTCGTGCTGTGTTCTCAATCAGCAACACAGACCCATCATTTATTATATTGAACTTTGGTTTTTGTATCTCAGGGGAAAAAATTTAAATTTTATGTCCTGGGCAGTATAGAAAAAAATACCTTCTAAAACATTAGAGAATCAGGAACTTGCTGTGGCTTCCCTGCTCCAGTTGTAAAAATAACATTACCAGAATGGGGTTTTTTTTTTTGACCTAGTGTTTTAAAAACCAATTGATTATGAGGATTCATAAGGTGATATTCACAAGTAATGATTGTTGAAAGTTATATGAGTAAAAAGAGGATAGACATTAGTGACTAATTTTAACTTAGTCTCCATATATTTAAAATGTGATTTAAGAAAAGGAAGCTTTTGAAAAAACAAAGTTGCTCCAGATTCCTAACACCTTTTTATTTTTGCTGTTCCTTTCCTGCCAGTGACATTGGTGAGTAATTAATGGCTATAAGGCAGGACACATGTATAGTGCTAAAGTCCTATTACTTAGCTTAAGTTTCATGATCTACCCTGTAAGACAACTCATGTGAAGCTGCAGACATTCCCCGACCCCATTTAAAAAGAAATTTTAGGTACAATTCACTTTTGGAAAATTTGGCTGTGTTCTGGAGTTCAAGAGGGTATGGTGACTACTAAACTCAATAGCTGTGTGTTTGTTTTATGTAGAAGTTATACACACTTGGTAAAGCATATATGTCTGACAGTATTAAAAAAGCAAGGCTGGTAAAACCAATGGCAAGGCTAGGGGATGACTGCAAATTTTGGATGGGCTAGGAGCCATCCTGAGATGGTTTCGTTACGGTTGGTGGTGGTGTGCCGATGATAGGACATTTGAACAGAGGACAAGAGGGTGACAAGATCCAGCTGGAATCAGCTGGGCCTTGAAATCAACCTGTAGAAAGGCAAATCTATGCAGAAGTGTCTGCAACTCCATATACTACTTACACTTAAGGTATTCTAGGATGTTTAAAAAAGAGCTTGCCAGTGTTTGTATAAGAACTCAGGACCACTATTTTTATTTCTAAATATTAAAGGTGACTGGGTATCCTGTGGACATTGAAAGGTTGACTCCAAAGACACTGGTCTGCTTGGCATCTGCATTAGGTCACTGGTATAAATAATGCCAGCTAACAAGTGTTGAGGCATTGCCATGTGTGAGGCACTGGTGAAGATATTTGATGTGAATTTAATCATTTAATCTTTTTAAAATTGTGGTAAAAAATACGTAACATGAAACTTACTGTCTTAACCATTTCTTTTCTTTTCTTTTTGAGATAGAGTCTCGCTGTTGTTGCCTGGGCTGGAGTGCAATGGCGCCATCTTGGTTCACTACAACCTGCACCTCCCGGGTTTCAGGAATTCTCCTGCTTCAGCCTCCCAAGTAGTTGAGATTACAGGTGCCTGCCGCCACACCTGGCTAATTTTTGTATTTTTGGTAGAAACAAGTTTCACCATGTTGGCCAGGCTGGTCTCGAGCTCCTGACCTCAGATGATCCACCTGCCTCAGCCTCCCAAAGTGCTGGGATTAGAGGCATGAGCAATGGCGCCTGGCCCATCTTAACCATTTCTAAGAGTACAGTTTAGTGGCCTTCAGTACATTACATTGTTGTGCAACCAGTTTCTCATCCCTCAAAACGGAAACTCTATATCAATTAATTCCTCCATTCCTCTTCTTACCCCTGGCAACCACCTTTCTACTTTATGTCTGTATAAATTTGACTACTCATTATACCTCATATAAGTGGAATCATACAGTATTTTTCCATTTGTGACTGGCTTATTTCATAGATATGTGAACACACACACACACCATTTTGTTTATCCATCAATAGACAATAGGTTGCTTTCAACACGTGGCTATTGTGAATAATGCTGCTGTAACATGGGTGTGCAAATACCTCTTCAAGATCCTGCTTTCAATTCTTTTCGATATATACCCAGAAGTAGAATTGCTGGATCATATGGTAATTCTATAATTCTATGTTTAATTTTTGAGGACCTGCTATACTGTTTCCATAATGTCTGCACCATTGTACATTTCTACCAGCAATGTATAAGGCTTCCAATTTCTCTGCATCCTCACCAACACTTGTAATTTTCTGTTTTTGTCTCTTAATAGTAGCTGAGGGGTTTTTCCTGACACTGAATACACAGAGTTTTTTCCACACCAACAACCAATTCAACCAATTCTCTGGCACTAACTGGGTGTTCAGCAATTCAGTTCAGTTCTGATACTAACTTCTAAGATTAGCACAGACCTCAGAGGTTAAGGACTCATTCCTATAAGACTGTCCCCTGTTTGGTTGAAAGTCCCAGGGGTCACCAATATTTATGACTGGCCAGCTATACATTTGGGGTCCCCACAACTTCTTCTCAGGCTTGATAATTCACTGGAATGGCTCACAAAGAGAACTTTGGAAAATACTTTACTTAACATTTAGTTTATTATAAAGGATTCATATAACCCAGGAACAGCCAAATGGAAAAGATGCATAAGGCAAGGTACTGAGTGGGGTTAGAGGGTGGTAGGACAGAGTCCACATCCCCTCTGGGCACCCCACTCTCCCAGCACCTTGATGTGTTCACCAACCCAGAAGCTCTCTGGACCTCATTTTTACGGGGTTTGATTGGTTTCATTATGTGGGAGTGATTGATTAAATCATTGGCCATTGGTAATTAAGTTTAATCTCAAGTCCCTCTCCCTACTCCAGAGACTGGGGAGGGAAAGCGGGTGCAGGTAATGGGGGCGGCTGAAGTTTTAATGATGTAATCACATGATTAGTTTTTATAGTGACTAACTCCCAACCTGAAGGTATCTAGGGGGCCCCTGCTTTGAGTCATCATTAGCATACAAGACAGTAAATTCCAAGTGTTTGGGGAACTTTGTGCCAGGAACCAGTGGCAAAGACCAAATATTTATTTTTTGTTACACCACAGTAGCCATCCTAATGGGTGTGAGGTGATATCTTATTGTGGTTTTGGTTTGCATTTCCCTAATGATTAGCGATATTGAGCATTTTTTCATGTGCTTGTGGGCATTTATGTATGTCTTCTTTGGAGGAATGTCTATTCAAGCCCTTTGCCATTTTTAATTTGAATTATATGATTTTTATTGTTGAGTTGTAATTATATATTCTAGATACAACCTTTTATTAAATATATGATTTGCAAATATTTTCTCCCATTAGGTAAGCTCCTTACAAGCCTGTTGATCAGGTCCTTGAATGCACAGAGTTTTAATTTTACATGGTTCAATTTATCTATTTTTACTTTCCTTGCCTGTGCTTTTGGTATCACATCCAGGAATCATTGCCAAATCCAGGGTCATACAGCTTTTCCCCTGTGTTTTCTTCATACCATTTTAATAGGTTTAGGTCTTATGTTTAGGTCTCTGATTAGTTTTCAGTTAATTTTTGTATATGATACAAGGTAAGGGTCCAACTTCATTCTTTTGCCTTTGGATATTCAGTTTTCCCAACATCACTCATTGAAGAGAGTGTCCTCTCCCCATTGAATGGTCTTGGCATCCTTATCAATAATTATTTAATCTTTATGTCAACTTTGTGAGATAGATGTCCTCAGATGAGGACACTGATACCCAGAGAGGTTAAATAGCTAGTCCAAAGTCACACTGAGTAAATTCTGGAGTCAAGATTATAACCTAGACTAAACTAAAAACTTTTGTGCATCGCAGGACACTATCAGGAGAGTAAAAGACAACCCACAGAGTGGGAGAAAATATTTGCAGATCTCACATCTGATAAGGGATTATTATCCAGAATGTATAAAGAACTCTGAGAATTCAATAACAAAAAGCCAAACAATCCAATTCAAAAATGGGCAGGAAATTGAATATCTATTTCTCCAAAGAAGATACATAAATGGCCAACAAAAACGCCTGAAAGAATACTCAACGTCCTTCACCATTAGGGAAATACAAATCAAAACTACAGTGAGCCACCTCCTCACACCAATTAGGATGGCTGGTATCAAAAACCAGAAACCAACAGTGTTGGTGAGGATATGTAGAAGCTGGAACACTGTGTATTGCTGATGGGAATGTAAAATGGTGCAGCCCTGTGGAAAACAGTATGGCAGTCCCTCAAAAAAGTAAACATAAAATTACTGTATGATCTACTTCTGGGTGTACATATAAAAGCATTGAAAGCAGAACTCAAATAGATACTTGTTTACCAATGTTTTTAGCAGTGTTATTCACTGTAGCCAAAAGGTGGAAATAACCTTAATGTCTGCTGACAAATGAATGGATAAACAAAATATGAGATATATATATATAATGGGATATTATTAAGCCTTAGAAAGGAAGGAAATTCTGACTCATGCTACAACATGGGTGAGCTATAAGAACATATGCTCAGTGAAATAAGCCAGACATAAAAAGACATATATGCTTCCACTCATATGAGGTACCTGGAAAAGCCAACTTTATAGAAACAAGAAGTAGACAGGTCATTGTCAGGGGTTTAGGGAGGGAAGAATTGGGAGTTCATGATTAATGATTACAGAGTTTCATTTGGGAAGATGAAAACTTTTTAGAGGTGGATGGTGGTGATGGTGGCAGGACGATGTGAATGTACTTAATGCCACTGAATTGCACATTTTAAAATGGTTAAATTGCAACCCAGACAATTTCCTCCACAGCCTACGCTCTTAGCCACAGTATTATAGCTGCCTCTCTGGTGTGTGGCTTCTTACAGATTTACAACAAACATGAATCTCGTGGGTGCCCCGGCTCATCCACTGAGATGTCCTCTTCAGCCTGACTATATGGAGGTCCAGTCTGACTTGCACCTGCTCAGTCTTTTGACTTTATCTTCTGGCTCCCCAAGATGTCCCAGCCGCCAGAGATCAGAACACACACTGGTAATCCTTTAGCTTTGTATTCTGGTTTTCCCTTATTATTTGCCTTACTTTATCCCAGTCAGTTTGGTTTTTAGAAATGTGCTTTTCATAGCTTATCCAGCATTTTTAGATGTGCTGTACTGGGAAGAGTCACTCTGAATGTTTAGTTCTCAATATTGGCCCTCGATGATCTGAGATGCTCTTTTCTAATATTACTTGTAACACCTGGGACTCACGAAGACCTACCTAACTCACCTAACAGCAAAAATGATTCAACTCAGTAAGCAATGGTGGTGGTTACTGTTTTGGAGAGGCATATGTCAATTACAGCAATGCTTCTCAAAATATCTGAATCACAGTCTCCTGCAGGGACTAGTCTGAAATGCAAATCCCAATCTCTCACCTTCTTGAGGTTGTGATTCAGGAGGTCTAGGGTGGAACCCAGGAAATCCACAGTTTTAACAGTCACTTCTAAGTGCTTTTGGTAAAAGTGAACAGCTAACCTACTCTGAGAAATGTAGCTAGCAGAAGATTGGGAAAAACATTCACTTGGAGAGAGGGCTATGTGGTCTTTGAGGGCTGCTTTCTCCTTGGAAGAAAAGAACATGGACTTCAGACCATCTAATCTGAACTTTGCTCCACAATGATCACCTGTTAGATCTTCAGCAAGAATCTTAAACATATTTGTGCCTTAGCTTTCTTATGTTAGGTGGAGTTAATAATACCTTTTTATAAGTTTGGTATAAGAATTAAATGTGATAATAGATATTAAGCATCTTGTAGACTTTTTGCTAAACATAGCTTTTAAATTCACACATTTAACTCCTGCTGAAACTCTGCCAAAATGACAAGAAAGGAATACGAAAAGGCATACATGTCCAAGCCCAAGGGAAATGAGAAAAGTAGAAAACAGTAAAAAAAAACATTAGAGAATAGAAATTAAATGGAAGCAGAGCAGATATTCACTTAGTACTCACCTTTTCACTCTGATATGACCTCATCGATTATATATAAGCAGTGTCTGTTCTGTGCTCCTGCCCTCCTTGTAGTTAAATATTTTCATGGTCATCCCTGAACAGAGGAATGGTAATTGATTTAGCGAGTTGAACCTAAACCTAAGAAAGTTAAACCTAACTGCCTGAGGAACGGGATGCCAAGGAGAGGGAACCAATTCATTCCAGAGAACATTGGGAAAGTTCAGCACCAAACATCATGCAGAGCTGGGATGAGAAGAAAAGACTCAAAACAGGGAGACTGGTTAAAGAAACACGTGCTGGAGAAGATTTAGACTCAGAATCAGAATTCTTATCTGCAACTGCGAAGTCAGTAAGACAATGAAACAACTCTCAAAATGTAGGAGAAAATGTTTTTCAATGAAGTATTCAATAACAAACCATTAATCACGATATTTTTAGATATGAAAAGTCTCACAATTTTACTTTCTATGTTCTCTTTCTCAATAAGTTAGCAGATAATGTGTCCTATGAAAATTGGAGAGAGAGAGAGGAAACAAAACAAAACAAAACAAATTTCTGTTGTTTTAAGCAATCCAGTCTGTGGTACTTTGTGTTATGGTAACCCTAGCAAACTAAGGCCACAGGGTTAGCAAACAGGCCTCAAAGCTTCATCTGCAGAGCATGTGTCTTATTCTTCAGATTGTATATTTAGTTGGGAGCCTTGATAGGAGGACTGATGAAGATTTTAGGGATGATTTAAGTCTCCCAAAACTATCACTTGGTATTGCCACTGGCTAGATGCCAAACTGGATGAGTCCAGTGAAATGAATGTGTTTTAAAGTTATTTACAGCCAGGCATGGTGACTCATGCCTGTAACCCCAGCACTTTAGGAGGCCGAGGTGGGTGGTGAATCACCTGAGGTTGGGAGTTCAAGACCAGCCTGACCAATATGGAGAAACCCTGTTTCTACTAAAAATACAAAATTAGCCAGGCATGGTGGCGTATGCCTGTAATCTCAGTTACTTCAGAGGCTGAGGCAGGAGAATCGCTTGAACCCATGAGGTGGAGGTTGCAGTGAGCCAAGATTGTGCCATTGCACTTCAGCCTGGGTGAAAAGAGCAAAACTCTGTCTTAAAAAAAAAAAGTTATCTCACATGCATAAGCTTGTTATGCAATATATTTTATGGACAGTAATATCTCTACACCACTGTGTAGTAAAAGCCTTGAGTGTTTCTTTATTTCATAAAAGAATCAGATATGAAGCCAAGAGAAGTAGGTCTCTGAGCCTATCCTTGTAATAAAGCTTCATAAGACTGGCTACAGTAAGATGTCAATCATTGATATCTCATGTCTCTGTTTCGTGTCTGACTTTTTGATACTTAAGATCAAATTATTTAATTTCTTCCTTTTTTTTTGAAATGGAGTTTGCTCTTGTCCCCCAGGCTGGATCGTTACCCAGGCTGGCGTGCAGTGCAGCTCACTGCAACCTCCACCTCCTGAGTTCAAGTGATTCCCCTGCCTCAGCTTCCTGAGTAGCTGGGACTACAGGTACGCACCACCATGCCCGGCTAATTTTTTGTATTATTAGTAGAAATAGGATATCGCCAGGTTGGGCAGGCTGGTCTCGAACTCCTGACTTCAGGTGATCTGCCTGTCTCAGCCTCCCAAAGTGCTGGGATTAAAGGTGTGAGCCACCATGCCCGGCCAATTTAATCTCTTCTACCTAATTATTTGCTTTTGAAATTTACCAGTTCTCCTTAGTCTCACTGCGGAGACTAAGCTCTAGCTTTCCCGGAATGACCTTTCAATAACTCAGAGAAAATCATCAGGCCCATATCCTCCCCCACAAATAACAAATTAAGATTTCAGAATTAGCACTTGGTAATTTATTTGAATTTTTGGTTCCTTTTTAAAATTTATTCATTTATTCACTCATTTGAGACAAAGTCTCTTTGTCGCCCAGGCTGGAGTGCAGTGGCATGATCTCAGCTCACTGCAAACTCCACCTCTGGTTCAAGCAATTTTCCTGCCTCAGTCTCTTGAGTAGCTGGAACTACAGGCACCTGGCATCACACCTGGGTAAGTTTTGTATTTTTAGTAGAGATGAGATTTTTTCATGTTGGCCAGGTTTTCTGAAACTCCTGACCTCAGGCAATCCACCCATCTCAACCTCCTAAAGTGGTACTTTTTTTTTTTTTTTTTAGATGGAAATTCATTTGTTTAGGCAGATGCCATAAGTTCAAATTCTACTTCCAAAATCTGTTTCACATCTGCCCAAGTCTTTTCATCTCTAGCTTAATGGCATGTCCATATCTCTGAAGATTTATTACAGTAGCTTCTTGTGTTCCCCTCCTGCCCTTTTTTTTTGCTTTTCTTTTCTTCTTCTTTTTTATTGTTTTTGATGGAGTCTTGCTGTCACCCAGGCTGGAGTGCAGTGGTGCAATCTCGGCTCACTACAACCTCTGCCTCCCAGGTTCAAGTGATTCTCCTGCCTTAGCCTCCCCAGTAGCTGGAATTACAGGCACCTGCCACCACACCTAGCTAATTTTTGTATTTCTAGTAAAGACAGGGTTTTACAGTGTTGGTCAAGTGATCCACTGATCTCAGGTGATCCACTCGCCTCGGCCTCCCAAAGTGCTGGGATTACAGGTGTGAGCCACTGTGCCTGGCCTGTTTCCCTTTTATATTTACATTCCCTCCACAGAAAATAATGAACCATATGACTCTACTTTCTAAAACTATTCATCAGATTCACTTATGATAAAATGTAGCATGCTTAATGTTGCCTGCTAGGCTGTTCTTAATTGGACTCCAGTCATCCTCATCTCCTGCCATTATTCTTTTCAAACACTGTACTCTAGTCACATGGTCTCAGGTTCTTCAATACATCAAGCTGTTTCCTCCTCAGGGCCTTTGCATATGCTGTTCCTCTTACCTACCATGCTCTTTTCTCTACTTTTTAGTCTCTTCTATAATTACAGTTATATTTCACTTGTTTTGTCTATAGGTGAGAAAAATTAAAAGCTAATAAATGGCATTTAAGAACTGATTTTGTGCATATGAGTAATTATAAAAACAAGTAGTAAGAAATAAAAACATATGTGTACAAAAAGACTTGCACTTAAATATTCATAGGGCTCTATTCTGAATATCCCCAAGTTGTAAACAACCCAAATTCCATCCACAGAAGAATAAACAAAATGTGCTATATTTGTACAATGCACTATTAACAACAAAAAAGAGAACCTCGAATACATGCAACCTTGTGAGCCTCCAATGTAATATATTGAACCAAAGAAGCCAGATATATTAACAGAAGAGTGCTTACAGTATGATTTTTTTTATAATAATAATGATTTTTTAAAATTTTTTATTGCATTTTAGGTTTTGGGGTACATGTGCAGAACATGCAAGACAGTTGCATAGGTACACATATGGCAGTGTGTTTTGCTTCCTTTCTCCCCTTCACCCACATTTAACATTTCTCCCCAGGATATCCCTCCCCAGCTCCCCCCCGCTGGCCCTCCCCATTTCCCCCCAATAGACCCCAGTGTTTAGTACTCCCCTCCCTGTGTCCATGTGTTCTCATTTTTCATCACCCACCTATGAGTGAGAATATGCAGTATTTCATTTTCTGTTCTTGTGTCAGTTTGCTGAGAATGATGTTCTCTAGATTCATCCATGTCCCTACAAATAACACAAACTCATCATTTCTGATTGCTGCATAATATTCCATGGTGTATATGTGCCACATTTTCCCAATCCAGTTGATCATCAATGGGCATTTGGGTTGGTTCCAGGTCTTTGCTATTGTAAACAGTGCTGCAATGAACATTCGTGTGCATGTGTCCTTATAGTAGAACGATTTATAGTCCTTTGGATATATACCCAGTAATGGGATTGCTGGGTCAAATGGAATTTCTATTTCTAAGGCCTTGAGGAATCGCCACACTGTCTTCCACAATGGATGAACTAATTTACACTCCCACCAACAGTGTAAAAGTGTTCCTTTTTCTCCACATCCTCTCCAGCATCTGTTGTCTCCAGATTTTTTAATGATTGCCATTCTAACTGGTGTGAGATGGTATCTCAATGTGGTTTTGATTTGCATCTCTCTAATGACCAGTGATGATGAGCATTTTTTCATATGATTGTTGGCCTCATATATGTCTTCTTTTGTAAAGTGTCTGTTCATATCCTTTGCCCATTTTTGAATGGGCTTGTTTGTTTTTTTCCTGTAAATCTGTTTGAGTTCTTTGTAAATTCTGGATATCAGCCCTTTGTCAGATGGGTAGACTGCAAAAATTTTTTCCCATTCTGTTGGTTGCCGATTCACTCTAGTGACTGTTTCTTTTGCCGTGCAGAAGCTGTGGAGTTTGATTAGGTCCCTTTTGTCTATTGTGGCTTTTGTTGCCAATGCTTTTGGTGTTTTGTTCATGAAGTCCTTGCCTACTCCTATGTCCTGGATGGTTTTGCCTAGATTTTCTTCTAGGGTTTTTATGGTGGACAGACTTAAAGAAAGCCAAATCAAGAATGAACTGCCATTCACAATTGCTACAAAAAGAATAAAATACCTAGGAATACAACTCACAAGGAATGTAAGGGACCTCTTCAACGAAAGCTACAAACCACTGCTCAACGAAATAAGAGAGGACACAAACAGATGGAGAAACATTCCATGTTCATGGTTAGAAAGAATTAATATCGTGAAAATGGCTATACTGCCCAAAGTAATTTACAGTATCAACGCTATCCCCATCGAGCTACCATTGACTTTCTTCACAGAACTGGAAAAAACCACCATGAATTTCATATGGAACCAAAAGAGAGCCCGCATAGCCAAGTCGATTCTAAGCAAAAAGAACACAGTGGGGGGCATCATACTACCGGATTTCAAACTATACTACAAGGCTACAGTAATCAAAACAGCATGGTACTGGTACCAAAACAGAGATATAGACCAATGGAACAGAACAGAGGCATTGGAGGCAACACAACATATCTACAACCATACAATCTTTGATAAACCTGACAAAAACAAGCAATGGGGAAAGGATTCCCTGTTTAATAAATGGTGTTGGGAAAACTGGCTAGCCATGTGCAGAAAGCAGAAACTGGACCCCTTCCTGACACCTTACACTGAAATTAACTCCAGATGGATTAAAGACTTTAAAATGATGATTATTTTTTGAGATGGAGTCTTGCCCTGTCACCCAGACTGGAGTGCAATGGCACCATTTCGGCTCTGTAAACTCCACCTCCCAAGTTCAAATGATTCTCCTGCCTCAGCCTCCTGAGTAGCTAAGATTACTGGTGCCCACCACCATGCCCAGCTAATTTTTGCATTTTTAGTAGAAATGGGGTTTCACCATGTTGGCCAGGATGGTCTTGAACTCTTGACTTCGTGATCTGTCCACCTTGGCCTACCAATATGCTGCAATTACAGGTGTGAGCGACGGCACCCGGCCATGATATGATTCTATCTATGTGAAGTTAAAAGGCAGGCAAACCAATCTATAGCTATGGCAATCAGAACAACATTGCCTGTGGGTGTGTGTGTAGGGCATGGGCATTGGCCTGAAACAGCACAAGGGAACTTCCAGGGGTGATGCCAATACACTGTATTCTGCTTTGGGTAATAGTTACAAAGGTGTTTGCATTTGCCAAAACTCATTATGCTGTACACTGAGCTGTGCTTTTTGTTATCTATGAAATATATCTCAAAGAATAATATAATCTTATGTTTTCATAACTTGGCTGCTCAAAAGAGACAGTTTCAAGAATCAAGTCCAGTGAATCATTTTATTTTATTTCTAGTTTCCTTCTTCTGGATCATACTCAAAGCTCATGTATGTTGTTAATGTGAGAGGTTATCACACATGCTTCCCTTTAGGACTCTTATTTTACATGTTATTTTATGATCTCACCTATTTCATTTTCAAGCGTACATCAAATTAGAAGTAGCCGAAAAGTACAATGAGGCACATTGGTAATAGTAGGGTGATACCTTGAGAGCAAAAGTGAAAAAAAAAACAACAACTAAAAGTATGACTTAAGAATTAAAAAAGAGTGTGGGCCTAGAATATGCTCTATTTTAAATGTGAGAAAGGATAAATACATGAAAATTCCATAGAGAACAGTTTAGAAAACATTTTTTGTTTTGGTACTCAAAGGGCTAAAACATCAGATATCTGGATTAATCCAGGCAATGATTAAAGCCACTCCATGGTAGAGCCTGGGACTTGTGGTAAAAGAGCAACCTTCCAGAAAATAACTGACACTAAACAACTAACTGGAGCTTCAGGCAACTACAACGAGTCATGCAATACCAACAAGTAATGACTTAGCACCAATACTGCCCACGTGCCATTCTCTTATTGCTGTAATGATGCTGAGTAATTCAGAGAGCATGTGCTTTCCTTGAGTCACTTGGGTGGAAGCACTTCATAGGGTGAGGCCATAAAAAGGTCTTGCTAGGCCAGGTGCGGTGGCTAATGCCTGTAATCCCAGCACTTTGGGAGGCCGAGGCAGGTGAATCACAAGGTCAAGAGATCGAGACCATCCTGGCCAACATGGTGAAACCCCATCTCTACTAAAAATACAAAAATTAGCTGGGCGTGGTGGCATGCACCTGCAGTCCCAGCTACTCGGAAGGCTGAGGCAGGAGAATTGCTTGAACCTGGGAGGCAGTGATCCAAGATTGCACCACTGCATTCCAGCCTGGTGCCTGGTGACAGAATGAGACTCTGTCTCAAAAAAAAAAGAAGGTCTTGCTAGTTCTTCTGAAAGCAAACCATTCTAAATGGGCTCTCAGAGAGTTTTCTGCATTATTTCTACACTATATTTATTTTTGTTTTTATTTTTTATATTTTGTAGAGACAGGGTCTCGCTATGTTGGCCAGGCTGGACATGAACTAGCCTTATGTGATCCTCCCACCTTGGCCTCCTAAAGCACCAGGATTACAGGAATAAGCCACCATGGTGGGCAATTTTTTTTTTTTTTAAAGAGATGAGGTCTCACTTTGTCACCCAGGCTGGAGTGCAGTGGTAGATTAGAGCTCTGCAGCCTTGAATTCCTGGGTTTAAGCAATCCTCTTGCCTCAGCCTCCCGGTTGGCTAGGACTACAGGCACAAGCCATGATGCCCAGCTCAGCCCACTGAAGATTTGATCATAGAAATTTTCTAGTAAACTTGAAAAAAGGAGAAAAAAACCCAGCAAACTTCCTGTGACAAATACTGTACAAGGAGAGGTAAAGTGTTAAAGACATTTTGTTGTGTTGAAGAAGTTTTTGAAATAAGAGAAAAAGGTGGAATGGTCAAGAGGAAGAGACCTGATTTTAAAGACTAAAGAAAATCTTGCCGAAATTAGATAGCATAATGAAAAGGGGAACCCTCCTAGTTTGAGGTTGCATCCCTGAACTCAGGTTTCTATTTTTATTAGATGCTGTGTTTCTGCAGGAATGAAGGCCCCAGTGGAGGAGTTCTCACAGGGAGGCAGATGCTGTTGGAAGGAGAGAGCCTGGAATGTCCATCGTGGTCAAGAGAAATGTGTATGTGGGTGTGTGGGAGGGTATCAAGGGAAGTGATCACTGCCAAGCTGTTCTGTTGTTTAACTGCCAAAGCATTCCCGGGATATTTTTCCTAGTAGCTAGGATTAGAGAGCTTGTAAGTTTCAACAATACCTCCATCTATTCCAAGTACAAGCACTTTTTTGGTAAACATAATTTTAATTCTAAAAAGACGCTAAGATTAAGGAAACTTTGAAACAAAATGACCACTCAGAATTCCATTACTCTTAAGTAGGTGATATTGTATTTTTGTGTTTTCTTCTAGTCCAAATACTCTCTTTTTTTTTTTTTTTTTTGAGACGGAGTTTCGCTCTTGTTACCCAGGCTGGAGTGCAATGGCGGGATCTCGGCTCACTGCAACCTCCGCCCCCTGGGTTCAGGCAATTCTGCTGCCTCAGCCTCCTGAGTAGCTAGGATTACAGGCACACACCACCATGCCCAGCTAATTTTTTGTAATTTTTAGTAGAGACGGGGTTTCACCATGTTGACCAGGATGGTCTCGATCTGCTGACCCGCCTCGGCCTCCCAAAGTGCTGGGATTACAGGCTTGAGCCACCGTGCCCGGCCCCAAATACTCTCTTTAACAAGACTTTTGTGTAAGTTTCCTCTTGGCATAATATCTGCTAAAGCAGCTTCTAACACCCAACAAGCTGGGAACAATTCTACATCACTCTGCATCTAGGTGGAAAGTTGAACATCAGAGATAAATTATTAATACCTACAAATATAATTTCATGCCTATTTGCAAGACTCTCCATTTCCACAACTGCTAATCAGTGACTGTATAGCTTGCTGAAGTAAAGGAAGGCAAACATTGTGGGTGAGAACCTCTTCTTAGTTCTCCAGAACGGACAAGGGATCGTCCATCCTAATTCACTGTTTAGTAAGAAAACTGAGGCCCAGAAAGGTCACAAAGCTAATAAGTACTAGAGCTCAGACTCGAACCAAGACCTTAAAAAATAAGACTTATGGAAAAGTTACAAAAATAGTGCAGAGGGTTTATGGGTAACCTTCACGCAGCTTTCCCTCATGTTAATAATTACTCATAGTTAAAGATAAAAACCAGAAAATTAACGTCAGTAACATTGGTACAATACTATTAAATTACAGACCTAATTTGAATTTTATGAGTTTTCTCGCTAGTGTCTTTTTTTTTTTCCTACTGTTGTTAGTTCTAATTCAGAATCCCACATTGCACTAAGTTACCACTTGTCAGTCTTCTCCAATCTGGGAGATTGTCTCAGGCTCTGCCTTCTATGACCTTGACCCTTTTGAAAAGTACTGGTCAGGTATTTGTAGAATGTCCCTCAGCTGGGGTTGTCTGGTGTTCTCATGATTAGGTTGAGGTTATAAATGTCTAGTGAGAATATTACAGAGGGGAGGTGCCCTTCTCGATGCTTCATATCAGGAAGTGCACGATGTCTATTAACCTCGGTCACTTGGTTAAGATGGCATCTGTCAGGTTTCTCCACTGCACACCTACTATGTTTTCCTTTGTGAATGATAGTTATCTTAGAGGAGATACATTGAGACTATGCTAATACCCTGTTTTACCTCAAACTTTCACCCATGGATTTGAGACTACCAGTAGATCTTGCCTGCAACAATTATCATTGTGTTGTCCACCCAACAGTAACTTTGTATTTTCCTCATTTCTCCTGTGTTCATTAATTACAATTCTCCTGTAAGGCAGAGGTATCACTTCACCCCCATTTATTTATATATTTACTTATTTATTTATATTGATATGTATGGACTGATGGATATTTATGTTATTCAACTAGATTAGAATCAAATACTATCATTATTTTCTTGCTCAAATTGTTCCAGCTTTGGCCATTGGGAACTCCTTTGGGTGGGCTCTTGCATTCATGTGACCCTATCATTGAGGGGTAGCTGTTATTGTTTTCAGTCCTTCCTTGTTTTCTGACGTCACAAGATTTTCATGCTCAATCAGATTTTCCCTGACCCAGTCCTAGAATCAACCACTTTTCCAAGGAACTTTATGAACCAAGACCTTTTGATGTAAATTTATACTCCTTCCATTGGCTCATGTTACATCTGAAACAATTTAGACTTGAACGCTTTACAAAGTTTTTCAAAAATATGCTGCAAAGACAGGTGGAGTTTGTACTTGCTGAGCTTGTTCCAGTCATCAGACATCATTTATGTTACTGCCAGTGCTCCTCCAACCACTCTGTACCACCAGGACGATCCAGACCTGAGAAGATGAGAGGACACGGAAGTGGATCAAAGTGTAGACAAGGGTTTGGCTGTAAACTAGATGTGCTGTGGATACAGATACTGATGGGATAGGGAGGCCAGGAGAATCCCTAGACGGAACTCAAATATACACACCTAAATTCTTTTTGCTTCATCACTATGCAAATAAAAAACACAAAGGTTTTTAAAGCAAGTCCAGAATTTTTGAACTTTAATTTTTTCTGGCCCTTCTTGACACTGCGTGTAGAGAAAGTGCTCTCTCTGACTTCAAGGTCTCTTCTCTCTCTCCCCACCTCAAATTGCCTCCGTCAGCTGTCTGGGATGGTGAGGGGGTCATGGCAAGCCTGTTTCTCGATGAATCTCACACTCACCGAGTGTGTATTATTATATGGCCTGTGTTAGGGATGAATACAATTAAATACATGCACATTAGATGAGAACAGTTACATTCATGGGTATTAAGAGAAAGACTGGAAACAAACAAGAAAACTAGATTTCCAATCTTTTGCATAAATAATAGGATTTTACAAAAAAAAAAAAACTTAGAAGAACTATTCCAAATAGATGAGCATGAAATGTCTGCAGTAAGTCCCATCTTCCATTTCAGAATGGCACTGGATTTAATCTAATCAGGTTAAAATGTGAGAGAAAAACACATCTGTAACATCTGAGCCGTGTTTTCACAGAACTTGACTGTGATCCTACTGGCACCTTTGAATGACAAGTTTATAATTCCTTGAGGATTTTCCATTTCTAGTTGACTCTGGATCAAGCTCTAATAATAGATATAATTTAAAACACAAAGAATTACACTAATTATAAAGATGAGATAATAATCATTCTCATTAGGGGCCAAGTCATTGAGAATCTTCTTACTAAGCAAAAATAAAAGCACACTTGGGCTTCTTATTCACAAAATAAATATAACGCCTTGAAAAGTAAAACATGTAATCATAAGAACATTGTTTATCAGGTTATTTCACAGGTTGAGCAATTCTCAGAATTGGCTGAAAACAGATTCATCTTGCATTATAATTGCATAATCTTTTCTCAGAAGGGGAAAAAACCTTTCTTGAGGTTTATTTGTTATTTCAACTCTGCCCAGCCTCTTACCTCCACCAAAAACATAAGGTTGAAATGGAAGAGAAGTTGGCTCTCAGATTTCCAGACCAATGTGTCTGAGACACTGACTCAGACCCTCCAGAGAGTGGAGTGGAATGTTTTTATGCTAAAGAGCAGCAGTTCTCAAACCTGGCTACACAATAGATCACCCAGCAAACTTCTGCAGACAGGATGCCTGGGCCCCATCCCAGACCATCTAGGGCAGAGAGAAGCATCTGAATTTTTAAAAAGTTCCCTACTTGGTTGTGCTACTGCACAGCAAAAGGTAAAGCCACTCGGGTGGAGCACATGCACCGCAAGCACACGCATGTCTGATCATAGCCATCATTACCTGCACAGGTGCTTCTCCCTCACGTGCATCTTGATGGACAGGCAGGTTACCCTTCTTCACCAAATAGGTTTTATGACTTATTTTTGAGTTCTCCTTTAACACAAATTATACACAGTCAACAAGATTTGTTCTGAATGAGCTCTGAAGGCTACTTGGCTGATGTGCGATCAACGGAATGGCTGGACAGAACCCTTTTTATAGTTCCTTTTCCACACGGCAGCCTCAGTATTTCCCAGTCCTTCCTCCATAGACTCTGTAGAAATGTCCGCATCCATTTCTGCAGGGTCAGGCTGCCCATCCCAGACCAGCTTTAGACATAAGGCTAATGATGGCTCGAGGCTGCCCACCATGAGCCAGGCCTCTGCTCTGGAGAGAACCACCTCCATGCTGCCTCTCCCAGCACACACAGTCCTCTGTCCCAACCTTTGCACGGCTTTTTCAGAATGCCCACTCCTCTCCCTTAACTTTGCCTCTCCAAATTCCACTCTTCCTCTCAGACCCAGTTTAGGCCCCACCCACTTCTTCCATAAAAACCCATTTCCTGCTCATTCTGCTCATCTTGGCACCTGTGCACCTACGGGGCTTACTCTATGACTGTTTTGTGTCTCGTCATTCCAACCATTTACCCGTAGACCTGCATATGCCAGAAAAAAATAGTGGTTTTAATTATTATTTTTTATTTTTTGAGACAGGATCTCCCTCCGTTGCCCAGACTGGAGTGCAGTGGAACAATCACAGTTCACAGCAGTTTCAATCTCAGGCTCCCACCTCAGACTCCAGAGTAGCTGGTACTACAAGTGTCTGCCACCACGCCCCACTAATTTTTTAAATTTTTTGTAGAGATGGAGTCTCATTATGTGGCCCAGGCTGGTCTGAAACTCCTGAGCTCAAGCGATCCTTCTGCCTTGGCTTCCCAAAGTGCTAGGATTACAGGCATGAATCCAAGTAGGGGTTTTGTAGTCTGGTTTTTGTTTTGTTTTACTTTTTATTTTATTTTTTTGGGATAGAGTCTTGCTCTGTATTCTGGGCAGGAGTGCAGTGGCACAATCATGCAGCCTTTCACTCCTAGCTCAAGCAATCCTCCCGCTTTAGCCTCCCAAGTAGCTAGGACTACAGGTGCAAACCACCGTGCCCAGCTAATTTAATTTTTTTTGTATATATGGGCATGTATGTAAATATATATATGTATATGTATATAGACATATATATATTTTGAGACTGAGTCTCGCTCTGTTGCCAGGCTGCAGGGCAGTGGCATGATTTCAGCTCCCTGCAACCTCTGACTCCCTGGTTCAAGCAATTCTCCTGCCTCAGCTTCCCGAGTAGCTGAGACTACACGTGCACCACCACACTCAGCTCATTTTTGTATTTTTAGTAGAGACAGGGTTTCACCATTTTGGCCAGGATGCTCTCAATATCCTGATCTCATGATTTGCACGCCTTGGCCTCCCAAAGTGCTGGGATTACAGGCATGAACCACCACGTCGGTCCTTTTTGTACTTTTTTTTTAGAGCAGGGAGGGTCTCCCTATGTTGCCCAAGCTAGTCTCAAACTCCTGGGCTCAAGGAATCCTCCCACCTCAGCCTCCCAAATTGCTGGGATTACAGACATGTGCCCAGCCTAAAGTCAGATATTTAAATATTTAGTCTGCTTTGTAATATCTAAGTGACTTTGGATGAGCTACTTAACTTCTCTGTATGGGGGTAAATTAAAGTAAGTATGGCTGGGCGCGGTGGCTCATGCCTGTAATCCCAGCATTTTGGGAGGCTGAAGCGGGTGGATCACCTGAGGTCAGGAGTTCGAGACCAGCCTGACCAACATGGAGAAACACTGTCTCTACCAAAAATACAAAAATTAGCCAGACACGGTGGCACATGGCTGTAATCCCAGCTACTAGGGAGGCTGAGGCAAGAGAATCGCTTGAACTCAGGAGGCAGAGATTGTGGTGAGCTGAGATCACACCATTGCACACCAGCCTGGGCAACAAGAGTGAAACTCTGTCTTTAAAAAAAAAAAAGAAGTATGTATGATATGGTTTGGCTGTGTCCCCACCCAAATCTCACCTTGAATTGTAATAATCCCCATGTGTCAAGGGTGGGGCCAGGTGGAGATAACTGAATCATGGGAGCAGTTTCCCCCATACTGTTTCCATGGTAGTGAATAAGTCTCATAAGATCTGATGTTTTTATAAATGGGAGTTACCCTGCACAAGCTCTCTTGCCTGCTTTCATGTAAGACATGACTTTGCTCCGCCTTTGCCTTCTCCCATGATTGTGAGGCCTCCCAGCCATGTGAAACTGTGAGTCCAATATACCTCTTTTTCTTTGCAAATTACCCAGTCTCGGGTATGTCTTTATCAGCAGTGTGAGAAGAGACTAATACAGTATGTGAAAGCTCTAGTTCACAGCCTGGCAAATACAACTGAATTGTACCACACATTCATTTGACTTCTATTAATTTGTCTGTATGCACTGTGGCAGAAGAGAAAGAGAGAGAGAGAG